TGGCCGCACAGCCCGGCTCAGAGGCGAGCAGAAGTTGCTCGCCACCCTCCAGCACCTCATTCTCATTCCGGAGCGAAAGGAATTTCATGCGTTGGGCAGTCCGTAACCTAATACTCGGCCTGGCATCCCTGGAGACCCCATCAGCACTTGTGATGTGTCCCTGGGAAATGGAGAGCTGTGTGCGGCCGTGGCAAAAATAAAGAGCTGAGGTTTTTGTGACGCTGCCTTCCTCCGCCCGTCCCGCAGCGCTCAGCACGCTACGCGCGGGACCGGGGGGAATCGCGTGGATTTGTGCTGAAATGCAGCCGTGTCCGGCCTGAAGAGAAACAGCTGTGGGGGAAGAAGAGCACACCAGCCCTGCAAACTGATTTAGGCAAGCGGATGAGAAAAATCCTGCAGCTGGTTGAAACTGGAAGTAAATGTGGAGGCTAAACCGGACTTAGGCAAGGACCTAAGTCCTTGTAAAGGTTAGAGCTGAGGGCAAACCGGGCTGCCTGGGATCTGGGAATCTTCCTGATATAAGAGAGATGGTCAGATGTCTCCACGGGCCAGCTATTCTTGATGCTAATGCAGGTTCTGGGGGTGGTGAGCTGATAAATGCCTGGGGACGGAAGTCGCAGGATTAGCTAGACCGGAGAATGAGCGCAGGACCTTTGATGGCCATCAAGGCGCGAGCTACGGATGTCCGTTCCAAGTGATGATGGTGCTCCTTTTTGCACATGCTTCTGAGCTCTGCCAGGCCTTCAGTTTAACCTTGACTCGGAGGAAAGAGCAGCACTTAAGAGAATCATTGACTTCTTCAGTGTGGAATTTGGCCCCCCGGGTTAATTCGGGGGAGCTGGTTCATGGGTGGAAGCGGTTGAGACCGCAGTGCGGCTGTTTGTTTGACTCTCCTGCTCCTCTCGAGATGGTGGGAGCACCTTTTTTCCTCCAGGTCACCAGGCTTCGTGCAGTCTCAGCTCCTGCTTAGCTAAGCAGGCAACAGGAGCTGCCTCCCCTGTATCACCTCACGCTTTCTGGTACCGAACATCCTGGTCATCTCTGCATCACCATCTTGCCAGAAAGAGCCCGTACTGGGGGAAAGCTTTGCTCCCACTCAGATTAATGAACCTACTGAGCCTCCTGAAGAAAGTACTTTTGGTAATAACTTTGTTTAGGGTGATGGTAAGGCTTACCAGCCTGCTGCCCCATTAACTCAAGGACAAGAGACATCTCTGTGAACATTGGAGCTCAGGACACCAAGCCAGTTGCCTGCGGCACAGGCTCTGGGCAGGGCTCGGCCAGCTGCAGGCTGGGATGGGGCCACGAGTGACAACAAATTTGCAGGGCTCATGGTTTCATTTCCCCAGAGAGCAGGGCGGGGGGCGTTGTTTGCAGCTCACCCACCCCCAAACCATCCCCCGTTACCTGTACGCGAGCCTCGGTGAGGTCTGTCCTCATGGCTAGCTGCTCCCTGGCATAGACATCTGGGTAATGTGTCTTCTGGAAGACCTTCTCCAACTCCTCCAGCTGGTAACTAGTGAAGGTGGTGCGATTCCTCCGTTTTTTGCCCTTGTTGCTCTCCGAGTCGGCCTTGTCCATGGGGCTGGGGAGGTCCGTGCTGGCCCTGTCCTGGGGCACTTTCACCCCGGCCTCTTTCACGCTGAGGTAGCTGCTGTCCATTCCCGACGGGTCGGAGCTCGGCTGCAGGTCGGTCTCTCCCAAACTGCTCTCCTTACCTATTTGGGTGGGAGGGCAGGGAGGAGACGGGGAGAGGGAGAAGAAAACAGATGTAAACCTTTTGACCAATTAATTGATTCCACTAATTAAAGCTAGCCATGGCAGTTGGACAGCAGCCCCCAAACGTAGGCAGAGAAGCTGGCACTGCCCGAGGCAGAGGCAGAGGCAGAGGAGGGAGGTGAGGCAGAAGGCTGCCCTGGGTGCAGGAAAGCTGTCGGCCTCGGCCTTGGAGGATGCTGGAGCTTAGCTTGGGGGTGGCACGGGCACCTAGCTGGGCTGTATTCAAGGGAGGAGGTGGCTGTCATGGCAGGGGGGCTGATCGCAGCCCACAGCCGGGGAAGGGCAGGTTGGGGCGAGCTCTGCCAGCTCCTCCTGGTCCCCCTCCGGGAGATGGGTGGAAGGACGAGCCTGGCACGCTCACGTGCACGCACCCCCGCGAGACCCTCTGTCACCCTCCCACCACCCACGGTGGGACTGAACCCCACGGGGCACTATATCCCTTGGTCTTGGCCACAGGAGAGGTCTCTGAGGACAGAGGGACCCAAAGCCAAGCCTCAGAGGATGGTCCCCAGTCACCAGCCTGTCCATGCTCCCCTACTGCATAACACACGGTAGAAAAACCAAGGGCACACCACAGTCATGCATGGGATTCAGTGTCACACCAGCCCACGTTTATGGCTGGGATCTTTGGACAAAAACCATGGTAACCCCACTGCAGGGTTTAACTTTGAACCACTACGCTCAGCTCCTAAAGGTCCGGGAAGGAAAGGGTACAGTGGTACGGCCTATCCGTGCTCTCCTTACCAAGCCAAGATCATGCCAACCGGCTAATCTTTTTTTTTTTAAAAAAATCTCACATTAGCCTGTTTTTAAATGGTCTCAGTCCAGGATCTGTCTTTCTGGGAAACAGCTCCGCCACTAGTGATGGCCCCACTGGGAGCTTTCCCCCAGCAGCGTCATCCCCAGGGTCATCGATGCCACCTCTGGCATCTTAGCCTGTGTCTTTGGAAATCCCCATTTTTTCCAGCACTCGTCCCTCATTACAACATCCTTCCACCTAATTCACCATATATTTACAGCGCAGCCCTTCCGTAAACGGCTCTGTCATGGCTTCACAGCCAAAAGCCTGCGAGCGAGCTTGTGAGAAGATGTACGTATCCTCGCCTTTTTCTCACTCTCGCAGCTGAAAGACTGCGTTGAGGTGATTGGGATGAAAACAGGAGGATGAAATGTAGCTGTCACCCTTGGATACAAGGAAAGCCTGGGTTTAAGCTTGATAGGATGAGCTGTGAAAGGGATTTGAGAAAAAAATTGCCCAGTCAGTACCGAGGAGCTGAAGGCAGACCTGGGATGAAGGTACCAGAGATGCCACTGTCCCCCCACTGTGTTTTCAGATTTATTGCTTTCTTTAATACTGTTCCCTCATGCTTTTGAGGAGCTCCCTGTAAAGCTCAGCAAAGCCTGATGTTGTCTATCGCGACTGTCTTTGATTTGATCTTTAGGAATATTTTGCCAAGATTTATGGTCCCTGGATACCGGGACCAGTGTCCAGACCAGTGATCTCCTCTGCCGCTCCTGGGGGATGCAGGTGGAAAGACCTGTCCAAATTTACCCACAACCTGAGTAAATTATATGCTATGGCCATGATATTTATAATTTTCGAAACTAATAATAAAACAGTTCCAGAAAGTCTGCAGCAATGGACTACCACTTATGAGAGGCAGTAGAGATGGAGTAATAAATAAATAAAAGTATTCCAGGAAATTTTTTCCTCCTTTTTTTTTTTTTAGCTGGGGAAGGGTCTGCACCAACGCACAGATAAGTTCTGGCTCTGATCTCATTTCATTGACAGCGTAGCTCAAACCACAGCTGGGAGCTGGGCCCAGGGCTTTCAGCGGTGATGGTTATCTCCACCGTAAGCCGTCAGCCCCGAGGAGCAAGCGACCGTCCCCACTGTGCAACGCGGCGGGTATCCCCGTGCCTGCCTGCCCCCAGCCCAGAGCCCTCCTTGCTGGCTCAGCCCTATCGTTCTCACGTCCTCAGGCCGCAGCAGAGACGGATTCCTTTACCTCCAGCCCCTATGGACACCGGCAGGGATGAGATGTCTCCGTGAGAGGAGCAGCAACAGCGGGATGAAGGGCAGGAGGCAGGGAGCACGGATGGTGGGGTAGGGAGAGGATGGCGTGCATCCACCCTCGGCTGAACATCCCAAGAAGTAATTCTCATTCCCTAGAAACAGGCTCCCTGACCTCCGAACAGTCATGCTAACTGCTGAAGTGAAACAAATTGCATACATCTGCATATGGATATGCCCAGACTTCCTGTAACTGGAGAGGGCCTCCAAGTTTCAGTGCAAAGTTTGGGGTGTCTGTTTCTAATCAAACCTAGAGAGACCTTGAGTTACATATTGTGAAGATCTCCATGACAGGGAGGTAACGTGAGCATCGCTGCACCCTTACAAGTCCGACAGGACCGCTTGGTTCCTCCTTCACTGCTTACAACTCTGTCCTTGCCCTCATAGCAGTGGAAGGGGGATATTTTCTGCTGTCCCTGCTCTCCTGGTGCCTTGGCTGCCTGCTAGACCATCGGCACTTCCAAGACCTTCCTGGAGTCACTCTGTGTTGGTTGCCAACGGGCAGGGACAGCCGAGAATGAGGGCCCTGAGCACCACTGCTGCTCCTTTTCAGGCAGGAGAGCTGCCTGCATCCCCAGTTCGGCTGGAGGGGATCTGCCTTTCCGATCTCACCGTGTCCGTCCTGGGAAGCCCACGGAGGAGGAAGGAGGTGCAGGAGATGCAGACTGTACTGTAGACGTGGCCACGCGGAGTCCCCGGGATGACCAGGCATCACGCTGCTCTGCTGAGACCTTCCTGGAGGGACCGGTCGTGTTAACCATGCCGTCACAATGTTTGGATTCACAACTCGGATCTGAAGTGTGCTATTTTGGGAGAGCGACGAAATAAAATCTTCGCTATATACGATCTTCTTCGCGAAACTTAATCTAGAGCAAAGGCAGCTTGGTGCATCCACATCACAACGGAGAGTGGGATGTTTCAAATACACAACTTTAAGCCCAACTTGAGATGGTAGCTGTCCTTTGCACGGCACAGGCACGCCAAGCTGCAGCTCCTGCGTCGTAGACTCCTTCACACAAACCCTGTGATTGCAACCCCACAGCCCACCAGGCTGCAAGACAGCTACATGGCCAGCACAGAGCTGTTTTCCCCCCTGAGCTCCAGGCAAAGAAGCCTGCAGGACCTTGGCATTGCTAATGTCTTGCTCCGGCAGCATCTCGTCCAAGTCATTACGGTTTCAGTGAGGACCCCACGCTATCGGAGCACAGCCCAGGACACCTGGATACCTACCGGCACGGGGCGGCTCATGGAGGCTGCTCTCCGGCGGCCAACCCACGTCCAAAAACGCGTGGCGTGGGCCGTGTGGGCCTGCGCCAGGCCGTCTCTCTGGTCCCACGCTAAATAACGTAGGGGCCTTCAGCCTTCCCGCCCAGATGTGGGCACAGGGGTTTTCTCCCCTGCCCATCCCCAGGTCCATATGGCCGCTGACGCTGGCCATTTCGTGGTGCCTCTCCTGGCCTGCACAGCCATGGTCTGACTCTTACATTTCATAGCAACACTGCTTTTTTTTTTTTTAAAAAAAACCAAACAACAAACCACCAACCCAAACCTCCAGTGCAGATATTTAAGACTTTTTCAATCCAGTTTTGGCTCTTAATGTCATTCTCTCAACTCTTGCTTAAATACCAATGCTAAAGTTTTGCCTAGACAGGGTTTGGGCAGTGTATCCTACACTTCTTACCAAGGAAGATTTGCACCACAGCCCAGCCAGCACACCTCCAGGACTTGGCCGGCCGTCGTAACCTTATCCAGTCCTTGCGATCTTGCCTTAACACATGCTGAAGCCATTATACTTGTTCCCAAGTTGTCTGTTGCAGCCTTCTGCCTCCTGTCTGTCATTGCAGTCTAGAAGTCGGCACAAGGCTATCGTTTAAAAAATATCCAGGTTTCGGGTTATATAGGATAAAACGGAGTGGTTGGATTTTAGACATATAAAGCCCCAGATCTTTAGGTTTATTTCTGTTCAGGGAGTCAACGCTCTTGCAGTCTGCAGATGTAGAGAAGGGTTTAAAGATGGAGAAGGCGACCCACAATTTTGTAGCTGACTGTGGCATTGCTGCTTTTATTAGCAATGATCAGATACGTAGTCATGCCTTCGCTCTTAGGCCCAACTGAAGTGTAAAACTGGGCAGCATTCCTCTCTTAAATGCAGGCGGTAGAAGTTTACGTAAGACACAAGCCATCGACGTCATTCTGGAAGCTGCCGTTACCCTTGCTACTAAGCAGAAACCGGTTGGAGCATCTCCATTTCAACTCGGGATAAGGACGAGCACATCGCCTTGTGTCCAACCTACCAGCGGTTCCCTTGAGTTTGCATAAAGCAGAGCTGGTCCCTGTAAGAAAGCACATCTGTCCGTCTGTCCCAGGCAGGGACCTCATTTGGTTTGATCCTGCAGAACCTGGAGGAAAGCTGGAACATGGTCCAGGAAGCTTTTCTGCTCCCGGCATGGCATGTACCGACTTCCCCTTGTGCTGAGGAGACCACTGCATGAGTGTGCTCATCTGCATGGACACCGTCCATCTCTGCTGAGCCCGACCTAAGCTGCTGGTGCTGATGGCCTGCAGCCTCCTGAGGCTCTGCAGCAAAGTTGCGGAGGTGGTGAAACCCGCAAACTAAAATCCTTGGCCACCTTGGGGAGCTAATTACAGACAGCAAATTCCTACAGAGAAGTGGACTTATAGAAGGATGAAAGGGGGAGAGGAGAGTTTCTTTCTACTGGGCTCCTCCTGATCATGCCTAGGGCTCCTCTCTTCAAGAAGAGACCTATTTTTCCGAGCATTTAGGACAAGAGGAAACGATCTCAAGTTGCACCAGGGGAGGTTCAGGCTGGACATTAGGAAGAACTTCTTCACTGTAAGAGTCAT